CGTAAACCCTGACAGTATGATTTTGACCTTGACATCTAGCAGAGGGGGATTTTGTAAACATTAAGTGGTTTATTTCATGATATATATAGCTGAATGTACTTTTCCACACTTCATACACATATACTTGCATAAATACATGTTCATGAAATTTTTATTTGAGCCTAAATTAATTTATCAGCTTACTTGAAACAAAATGTGTATATATATATATATATATATATATATATATATATATATATATATATATAAATAATAATAATAATAATAAAAAAAATACTAGATATAAAAACAAAAGACCCATTTTATTGTCCCCTTGGCAGTAACTGAAGTTTTAGTTTAAGTTTACTAAAATGAAAATACAATAAATGAAAGCTAAATATTATATATAATATTAAATTATTTATTTTAAACCACATATATACATATACATGTGGTTTAAAATAAATAATTTTATATTTTTGTCAAGGTCAATATACATATACATATATATATAGCATCATATACATATATATATTAGGGGTGTAACGGTTCACAAAACTCGGAAATATTAGTTTGGTTCGATACGATACACTTGTGTCACGGTTCGGTACGTTTTCAATACAGCAAAAAGAAAGAAATGCCAGAGAAATTTCCTTGATTTAATTTTTTTAATTATATTTTTATTAAAACTAACATCATAAAGTATGATATTTTTTTTACTTTGAGCAATGATGGAGCTATACTTGACTTTTCTTAGAGCATATAAAACAAAACAGCTCCTTGGACAAAATGAAATGTAAAATTGGAGTAGTTATAAACAAAGGTTTATTTTAGTTCAGATTAACATTTGAGGGCAGCAATTGTATTCATAATGTCAAAATAAAACCGACGTGATGTTACTTGAATACATTATAGCCTACTATTCCTGCCAAACTCCCATGGTTACAGTTAGTAGTGTTACTACAGTAAACCCATGGTGAATGTTGCAGAGTGGACACTGGATAGTTCATTCATGGCACAATGTTTCTCCTGGTTTCCACGTCAGCGCTGTTTGATCCGTTAATAACCGAGAAATGTGAATGTTTGTCACTAGATCTCGAAGCGATGTTATTACTTCAGTGGCGAATTTAAATGCTTTCTTTACTGGATTTCGCTGTATAGTAACAGTGCTGCTTAATCAAGATCGGCTCGCGCTGCATTTGTCCACACTGATAAACGGTCCGTCAACCACACAATAACGAGTAGCTCACTTTCGTCCCGCTTACATTAGCCATTTGATGTTGGGCAATGTTGTGGTCACACCAGCGCGACGCGCCTACATTTGAAATAACGAAATTTTGGTCAGCAGGAAAAATGGTCCAACCAGCCAAGTTCGGTTTGAAAATGCATACCGAAAACCGAACCGAAAGCCTCGTACCGAACGGTTCAATACGAATACGTGTACCGTTACACCCCTAATATATATATATGTTATCATATTATTCTGTTGAAACCCAGAATATTCCTTTTTAAAGAAGCATTAGTGACTAAATCCACAGTTGTTATGTTCTTAAAATGTTTTTTACAAGTTATGTAGTGTATATATACAGTATACTTTTTTTTTGATAATGAATATATTCATTAAATTGATTTGCAGTGATGTGGTGGTGGCGGCGGCCAGTTGTTGTGAAGTCTGTCAGTCTGACAACAACTCTGTCAGATCCTAAATGAAGCCCTCGAACATCACCTCTGAATACTGATTAATAGCCATATTATTGTAGCAGCCAATCCATGCTATATCTATCAATACCGGCCTCGCTTTCTCCTTCATTTAGCGTCAAAGTGTGGAGTGTGTTCCCATGACAACATGGTCAAAGCCTGCTCGGCAGATCGTGGATGTGCGCCTTATAAGGCAAATGACCACGTTGTGATTGTTGGTATTCAAAGGTGCCTTGATTTCAGTGCGGAATGTGTTTCAGTCACATGAGCACCACAATTTCTTGGTCAATTACCTCACATCTCATTCAGCTTGAATGTTCAGAAATGGTATTTGTATCTAGAGCTTCATTACAGACTGAATGATCACAGGTATGGTTGAAGACAACAGTCTTGGTCAATAGGTTGAAATAAAGCGTAAATTGACTGTTGATGATTATGTGTCTAGTTAAATGTTGTCACACCGATTCATTTTCACAGTAGTCCTTAAGTGGTCGAGGCGCTTACCTGTTCATCACTTATTACAGCATATTTCACTCCTGACACACTACATCTGCTGTAATCACATCTTGTTGGAGATCAGACAATTTTTTGTTAAACAATAAAAAAAAAGCCTGCTTTGCCCTTGGTACACATTGTACCATTTTGAGCTGTCCCAGACTGAAGATGACCAATCTTGGCAATTTCTGTGGTCGTGGCTCCTAAACTGTGGTCCTACGTGAGAGAGCTTCAAAGAGGTTCGTTGTTACGGTCTTGGGACCAAAGATAGCCTGCGATAATTCAGACAGGGTCAGAAATTTAGCATGATCATCTCACAGTGTGTTTGCTGTTACGACCTATGTCTACTGACTAGCTGTCACGGAGATAAAGAACAGACATAGATTCAATTGCAAGTGAACAGGTGTTTATTTAAACACAGAGAGAGAGCAGTAGTCTAGGACGAATATGCCGGCAGGATGATGAAAGTCAGACTCGATAGCGCAGGTCTCCGTGGGCAGACAGATCAGGACCAGAAGATAACCACTGTGCTGGAACGAATCCGAGGAACAGGTACAGACGGTAGTCAGGCCGCGAAAACTCAGAACAGGACGGTATCCACCGTTGATCAGGGACAGTCAAAAGGCAGAAGAACTCCAAACCGAATAAATCCAAAGCACAGGAACAAACACTAGATCGAGGAGAGACACAGGTGAACTCCGAGAACCTCAACAACCATCTGACAAAGACAGGACGATATGACACACAATATATAGGACATTCTCATTCAACACAGCTGGCGCTAAATCAGCTCATCAGCGAGGATAACGAGCAATGCTGACGAGCCGCGCCCATTCGTACTACACACACACACATAGCGAGGGCGAGTCACTGAATCCATGAACCGTGACACTAGCCAATAAAAATGCAACATGAAATGACGTATTGATCAACGCGACATGGCGCTAACATTTTAAACTACAGTACTTACCTCAAGCTTCATTTGCAAAATTGGCATGCCAAGTTTGCCTCTTTTCCCTTGCCATGACCTTGTCCATATTCTCCTCTTTTGCTTCCTCCCCTTTTTTCAGCGCACATAAAAACCACAATTGCCAAAGTTCGATTCATCTTGCTCTATTGGTTTACCACTAGCGCATGCTGATGACGTTTTATTCTTCTACATAAGAATAAGACATCGTAGCCTACGATTCAATAGGTGTCATCATCGTACAGTCTACATGTCATGGCCAATTTTATTAGATCCGTGTCATACAGTGTGATTTATAATGATCTTATGCGGTTGCTGAACTCGCACAGTCTGTAGCAGGCATTAGTGTTTTCATGGCTACTGATGTCCAGAATGAAGTGAATATGGAGGAAATATGCAAATGAGATATTTTAAAAGCCTGCTGTTTTATTCAGCATTATGAACAGCATCACTTCAATCGACTCACCCTGCAGTGCCTCATCTCATATTCCTGCTCTTCATACGCCACAGTCTATTTTCAACACTTCTATTTCTGACGCTGAAGCTCACTGGCTAGTGAATACTACCAAGTGCGATGGGGTGTCAGAAATAGAGATGTACGTCTGTTGTATCATCGTTGGTTTTGGGCCAGAAATATCCACCACATAAATGCTCTAATAAAGGCATACTGGAAACAGAAGCATCATGCTTGTTCAACCTGATGGGTCAGATTTTTTAACAGTAGATTCTGAATACAACGTTGGGATGTGTTTTAAGCTGGACAATTATTTTAGGTAAAAAAAAAGGTGTTTGTCTGAAGTCTCTGAATTTGGCCAGTCCAATCGAGATGCTTTTTCAACACATTTGTTTTCAACTAAAAATCCAGTCATCATTTACACATTTTATGTTGCTCCAAACTTGTATAATTTTTCCTGTGGAGCACGATTAGTAGTATTTATCAAAATATCAAAGCTTACTCATTTACACACTACAAAAATACATTAGCCCCTGGTTTTACAGACAAGGTTTATAGTCCCAGACTAAAATGCATGTTTGAGCTGTTTTAACTGAAGGCAACTTGCACTGACATATCCTAAAATATGTCAATGCCATTGTTTTGTCTCAAGATTTACACCAGTAATGTTTTTTTTTTCTAAGTACTTAAATGTCCTAATTGAACTAAGGCCTAATTCTGGCTTAATCTATGCCCTGTCTGTGAAATCTTAAAACCGAAATATGTTCTTAAATTGGTTAAACAAGACAAGAAGGCGCTTTAGCAAGCAAGGTCAAAAGACAAGAGGAAATCCTTGACCGGGTCACTGTGTGTAGTGTTGAGACATTTCCGGTTACGACCAGGATTGAGTCAGGTCAAGATGACTGCTGTTAATTGACCTTCGGAAGTATTTACTAGGGACTGAAATATCATTACCAACATCAGAAAATCAAATATAAAACAGTTAGGAGCTCACATCACAATCAATAGCCCTGCTACATCTTTTCTTTCCTTCAGCTCGTCTACAGAGCCAAGAGCGTTGCCATAGTGATATGAAATAGGCGCATAGTGCCGCAGCAGTAGGGCTCTCCTGTACATCAGACCATGTTTTCACATTCAGAAATTCGAGGTCCATGTTTTCTTTCCTCCATTTACATTCTTCCATTACACCATGTTATGAAAGAAACATGCATTGGATTTTTGATTATGGAATATGGTTGTACATGAGGAATATATATCAGGAAAAAGCTCTCAAGATTGAAACCTGCTTTTTAAATGAATGAATTGAGAGCAGTTACACCTGCTGATGTCACTACGATTGACATTAGTATTCTATGTACAGTATATTTATAAACTTTTCTGACTTCATTTTCCTTTTTCTTTCTTCAGTGCGACAATGCAAAGGGATTGCGGGCCTTCTTTGATGCAATCTGCTACGGTCCGAAACATTTGATGATCTTTGGAGGCGTGTGTCCATCAGTGACTTCAATCATTGCTGAATCGTTGGAGGGGTGGAACCTCGTGCAGGTGTGTGCAACAGCCAAGATCTGCTTCATAAAATCAGCGATGTGATTATTCATTTGCATATCATTAACAATTCTCTTTTTCCCTCAAAATGCCATGTTTCGTGTGCTACTCTGAGAGAGTTTACATACTTGAAGAATGCGTGCCATATATTTGCACTAATGATTTCCTCTGTGACTTAAATAAATGCTACTATCTTAAATCAAAAGGTTGGCAAAGCCAGGCCAGAAACGTAATCCCAGTGCTGATAAAAACTAGAAAAAATGAGTAAACTTCCTAGAGACCTCTGTCTTGAGCAGGCCCGCGGGGGTGTTTAGTGTGTTAATACTGTGATTTTAATAGGAAGTCAGCGTTCGGTTACTCTAAGCCTATCCCCCCCTCTTGTTTGCAATATCCAGTGATATCTCTAATCTGTGTATTAGCACATCACCGACAAAAGTAGTACACTCAGGTAGCCGTCGGCACACATGGCTCGAGGAAGTAATGTAGTTAAAATCTCTCTGATGTGAGGCTTGGAGGACTATAAAAGAATTCCAATGAGGAATCTCCTCCGGGCTCCTACACTTTCACTTTTGTGTTGGCATATGTGTGGTCAGCCTCTAAGCCAGCTGACATTTCACCAAGAGAACCTGGCAATTTTCCACAACTGTTCCACAAAAGTGGCCGGTTTCCATGAGAGGAACAGAAATTTGCGATAACGGACATAGTTCCAAGTAGAAAAAAGGGCACAAAAACCTAAAAGAGCGGAGATTGGATTTAATACATGATTTTAAAGCAACAATGTTATTATTCTTGTGTTGTAATATATGTATCATGACCATTTTTCACCCTCTCTTAGAATTAAACGGGCAGGTTTTTTTGTGGCTTTTGCTGGGCCATGTTAACCAGCACCTTAGTGTTACCTCACCGTGACCGGGCATGACAGATCTCTGGGTCACCGTGATTTTGCCAAGTAAGACATGTTCCTGGATCAACATTCCTGTCCGGAAATTTAGTCCTAAACCTATCCCTACCCCTAAACCTAACCCAACCCATAACTTATCCCTAAAATCAGAGGTAAAATGATATGTGAATAACATTGATGTAAAAGCACTAAACCCTGGTTGTAAGCCTAAACTTGACATAAACTGTAAACTTGTCTCTCTAAAATCTGATTGGTTGATTGGAATGTTGTTCAAGGATGAACAAAGATGTTGAGCCAGGAACATGTTTCATTTGGTGAGATCACGTTCACCAGATCTCTGAATACTGACCAGGTGCGGTTGGCGCTTAAATGTGGACGGATTTGATGCCAGAAAATTTCAGAAGTTCTGAATGAGTTTTTTTGTGCAGCTTAGATTAATCTCAGGAGGTGACGTTTGGAGTTGTTTTTCCTAGGGTTCGAACTCTTTTATCTCAAAAGATTAAGGAAAGATTGATTACTTATATGACTACTTTAATGTTCATGTGGATCAATTAGTGTAATAAAACAAATTGTGCAAAAATTGTACATTAAGGGGCTCTGATTTTGTCACTATAGGGAAGTACCCATAAAGGGACAACTTTTTATCTTATGTACCCCTGTAAAGTTCACTACCTTAAAGGGTACAACTCTGATGCACTAATATGCATCTTTTAGGGGCTAGATAAGGTTGTTCCAATTAAAAGGTATGATTTTTGCACAGTGAATGGAAATATCATAAAATGGAAAATAAACATTGCCATTTCTCTAATTAATGTATTTTTGATCTTAGACTGGTCTTGCCTTCCTGAGGATAATCTTACAGAAGTCCTAATTTGTGGACTAATCTCCCATTAACCCCAGTTGAATAGATCTCTAATTAGCCAGGGTGATGGGATGCGAACACATCCACAATGGAATTAGCGGTGACACGCCTCAGAAAGACTTTTATATGACAAAATAAAACAAACAGAGGGGGCCTAATGTATTGGGTAATGAACTTCCAAAGGGCAAAGATGAAACCGGGACGGCAGGTCCAGGGGTCTGGGGTCACGTCATCTATTCAATGCCGGAATCTCTTCAGTGGTGAAGAAAAGCAGTTTTATGGCAGCAGTGACGAGGCAATAAGCACTAGGTGCATCTCATTACGCTCTTAGCAGCGCTTCCATTTCCGCGCCCCTCCTCTTGGCGCACTGTGGTATTATGAGGCGGGATGGAGAACAGCAGAGGGGGGCCAGAACGCCGATGGCTGGAGATTTCTCTGTCACACCTGCTGATTTGTTTCATAAGAGTGAAAGAGACTAAATGAACATTGAGGAGACCTATTCTCCAGTTTATCAAAACCACATCTTTCATCTTCAACGCTAAGATTCTGTACCTTTATTTTTCATTTAAGCAATGTGTTCAATGAGAATGGGAAATGGTGGCTGGTTGATGGATTGTGTAGTTATATTTAATGAAAGCATGAGAGCCAAAAACTAGAGTGGCAGCTAACACGGTTGTGTTTTCACCAGTGAAATTTTACGCACGTGTTTGAACCTCCAGAGATGTGGCAACATGCAAACAGCCCTAGAGTAAACTTTTGACCTCAAGAGCCATTGAAATCTGTTTCCACAGGCATTCCTCTCCTGCGTACTGTGTAATTAAATAGTGCTGAGCTTTCTTTGTGCTTCTCGAATCATCACTTGGTATTCAGTGGTTCTGAATGGCTCCTCTGTTATGAAGTGGGTTACATCAGTGCTTGCAATGTGCAGAGATATTAACATGACTCGAGTGCTTTGAATCAAATTGAATGTCACCCAGACTGTGAGAGAATGATTATTTTGAGCTGAGACATTCCTTTCTCCCTAAGCGCTCGGGTGATATCGTGCCCTCGTGCGATATGCATCTTTCATATAGCAGGGAAAACGATAAACACGAGAGAATGCCATTTTCTACTAATGACTAATAGGGAGGCCTTTTTGCAGGCTGGACTCACAGGTGCTGTTTGTGAAGTTATTATACTGTTAAAGTAGTCCCCATTCTAGCTCTGATGAAGGTAACAATGCTCACAACATCATAATAAAAGTGATTAGATGAGATTAAGCATATTGCATGCATGGATATGTAATGCCGAGATGCAATTAGACATTTAGTTGCATAAGTAACTGCAAACCTCCCTTGATAGAGAAATGAGCATACCTGCAGGAAAGAACAATCACAAATTAGATCTGGTTAATTTCTTAGATGCTTCATCTCAAATGAAGAGCCGAAAGGAGGCTTCTGCTGAAATTTCAAAAGAGATAGCAACACTAACAGGGATTCCATGCTCATATTTTTAACATTTCTATGCACACAAATGCACATAAAAGTAGTGTGCTTAATTGTATTTAATACAGTATATGCACTTGTAGTGTACTTCAAATCTTAAAAGTATGTTTAAAAAAATACTGTACTTGGAGATAATATATGAATAAAAAAGGCCATTTAAGTGTACTTAAGGAGAGTACACTTTCATTAGTATGTTTCTTAAAATATTAACTTAAAATGTAATGTTAAATAAGACTAAAGTAAATATAATTAAGTACTTCACATGTGCTGTAGTTAGTATGTTAGTTAACACATCAAAATAAGTACCTTTAATTCATAAATGACAATGACGATGAATAACAAGTATTAGTAAAACATATTCATTTAAAATGTACTTTAGAGTAAAACTTTTAGTTTGACATTATTACAACTTTCACTTTAAAAGTATACTTAAGTGTGTTAAATGTACTAAATTGCAACTTAACCATTACAAGTGTGTAATTACAAATATATTTAAATTAGGGCTGTCAGATAACCCTTGTGTTATGTTGCGGGTCAATTTGACCCGTTTCGATTTTCAAGTTGTTGGAAATACTGGTTAACTTTTGTTTTTTTTCTTGATATTTCGTGACTTTTTCTCATTTATCATGATGAACATGCATGCAAAGTTTCAACATGCTGATGTGTTTTGACATATACAAACAAAATCACTGTTACGTTTGTGATGTTCGCGGGTCAATTTGACCCTCATAGACAGCCATTCAAAAGCAACTGTACAGACACAAAATAAAAACATTTATTTTCTGTATGTCAGGGCACTTCAACTCCAGTTCTAACGTGCAAGTGCATCTAAAAGTGCTCTAACCCTAACCAAACACACTTGAAAAAGCTAAAATTACAGTGTTCAGAATTATTTGCAAATTACAGATGAAAATCTTTGTCCGACACAGATAGTAAAATAAGCTCTCATTTCAATATTCAAAATATCTAAAATACCTAGCTTTTAACCAAAACTTTTATGTAGGATTTTCAAAGGCAGCTTCACAGAGCCAAAAAATAAATAAAAAACATTTATTTGATGTATGTTTTTGTTATGTTTGGTTTCTCACTTCCCAGTGAGTGAATAATGAAACTAGGAAAATAGGTCTTAGGAAACTAGGGAACGTTAACTTAGGAAAATGAAAAAAATTCATTATACAGCAAATTTTTTTTGTTCAGTTACGATGTTCAAAGCATAAAATGTAAAAAAAAAAAGTAATTTTTTTTTTTTTTTATATGCAAAAAAAAATCAGTATACTGTTTATTTTCCAATTTTGTCAAAACAAAACTGTTTTAAAAAATGTTTTTAAAAACATTTTCATAAATCATATTTTCAGATATAATGTTTTTGTAATGTTTGACAAATGTTGATATTAAATGTTTACAGTTTGTATCTAAATCTTTGTTGTTTTTCATAGTGTGATTTTTGAGGAATTGTATTGAATCCAATTAGGGTCAATTTGACCCGGTCCATAAGGGGTGTACACAGAAATCGAACAGAACACAAGGGTTAAACGCGCTATTAACGGCGTTAACGCAAACCCATTTTAACGGCGTCAATTTTTTATTGCGCGATTAATGGTCTTTTTGGCCTAACAAACTTTGTAGTTTTTTTCACATGCTTTTGCAACAGGACGGGCACGCGAGGACGTTTTGTTGCTTCGTCGACCAAAGCGCAAGCGGATCTAGCTAGACCCGGAAACAAAATAACAGGCACGCCGCACACAGTCTTGTT